CATGGAGCTACGGTCAAGGGCCTTCAGCGTGAGGCGTATGATGGAATGGCGTGCCTTGTGCAGCCCTGAAAGAGTTTTACAACACTGTCTGAGCAGAGCAAAAGCCAGGCCAGAGGCCTGTGGGCCCTGCTGAGGAGAGGCGGTCCTGACTGGAACAACTGTGCCCTGAGCATTGTGGAGCCTGAACCGCAGCCAGCTCATTCCCTGATCAAGCTCATCACTGTGAGTGTGATGTCTGGGTGCCGGGTGGCCACTGCACTGAATCATCGAACCCAGCTGAGCAAAGGGACGGATGGTTGGTACCGTTTACCACAGATATAAAAGGAGTACAAGAGGCCTGAGCCTGAGGTCTCAGAAATGCCAGCTCACTTGCTTCTAGTCTCATCTGCAAAAGGTCCCAAGTTCACATGCCCAAAGCCTGTTTACTTTGCCCCTTCCCTGGTGCTCTGTGTGGACAACCCTTCCTGGGCTTTGGTGGCCACATCAAGTTAGGGCAGGGACACTGTCTCCGAGTGGGCAGGATCTTCCAACCCAAGTCCCAGGAATGGATGGAGGCTGCGGCTAAGGCCCACCAGAGACGACACCTGAGCAGCAGTGGTTGAATTGTTCAGGAGGAAAGGATAAGGCTCCTAGTCTAGACAGCATCTTGCAGCTCATGAGTGGAGAGGGGTTCCCAGGTGAACTACAGAATACAGAGCCAATACAGAGCCCCAGGAGCCTCAGTTTCCTAAATGCACCATGGTACAATAGTGATAGTATCCACACCTCACCGTGCCACCTGGTGAACAATTAAACTCTTCATCTGCATGAGCTCACCTAACCCCTCACAACAAGCCCGGAGGGGCAGTCGATTGTTAGCACTATTTCCCACATGAGGGCCTTGGGTGATTCACCCTGGGTCACAGGGTTGTAACCAGCAAGGTTGGGATTTGAACCTGCAAAAGATAGGTGGTGTCAGGGATAGGCAACTTGGACATTGGCTACCCAAAATGGGGGAGGGGGGTGCTACAAAGGCAAGAAGTGACTGGCTTACAAGCTTTCAAGAGGGAACCTAGATCCAGAGGGCCTGGAGGAAGGTAGAATCTCCACTGAGTAGTATCCAATCTGTCTAGGTGGGGTTGATGAAACGAAATGCAGATGGGTCTCTTGTGATATAATAGTGAATAATTGTTATCAGGACTGATTGTGAGGGTTGGAAATGAAAAGGTAGACATTTTAAAGCAAGGAGGGGAGTGATTAACTTTTCAGTTTAGGAGCAGAGGTCCCTGGGACCATCAATGGAGAAGAGCAGAGAGCGGGACCCTACCCAGAGAAGCAGTGATGCCTGAGATGGAGGCAGAGATGATGACGTGGAGCGATGGAGCAGCTGGGGACTTTAGATCCAGAGAGGGAGAGAGGTTGTGTACTGATGACTGGGAAAGGGGGGCAGGCAGGCTTGTGGGGTATACACTTTGGTTGGTTGATGATGCATGGAGAGGATCGTACCTGTGGCAATGAAACAATATATGATAGATTGAATGTAAAACTAATGTTCTCCCATGTAAACTGTCACATAATTCACAATAAAACAATTATATATATAAAAAAAAGATAGGCGGTGTTGCCTCAATAAGTGCCAAGTCTGATCCACTGTGGAGCGGGAGCAGGAGGCAAAGGGTAAAAAGAACCTGACCTTGACATTGGGAGGAACTGGCCTCCTGTTGTTGTGTGTCATCGAGTCTGTTCTGACTCATAGTGAACCTGTAGAGGGATTCCAAGAAGTGGCTGGTAGATTTGAACCAGTGCCTACCATCAAACACCACTATTATTCAAGAGTCAAAAACATACTTGCAACACCTCCCCACCCCCAAAGTGAAGCAGGTGGGACAGAAAAGCAGGATTGTGGCATTGCTTGGGGCTGAGGAGTCCAGTAAAACAACAGTCACTGTGAAGAATGGGACGCAACCCACCTTCACACCAGTCCTTCTTGTTTTAACCTCAGTCCTAATATAAGCACTGGACTGTGAACCACAAGGTTGGTGGTTCAAACCCACCAGCTGTTCTACAGAAATCCAGTACAGGACCACTATGAGTTGGAATCAACTGGATGGCACTTAACAACAACACATTCCACAAGAGGCTTTTAAGGAAAAGGAAGAGAATCACCCCATCACCAAATATGTGCTCAACTCTTCTATGCTCCATTCTCTATCAGCAGATTCAGAAGAGGCATCAGCAAAGCCAAGGCGCTGATAAGTCCTGCAGACAAGAGTCCTGCTTATCTTATCCAACCTCACACTTCTCACATTTCATTGTCCTGAAACCTGACCTTTTATCTGAAAATCCTATTGATGCACATGGAAGACAGTCTGAAGAATGCTGACATAGAGTAGGGGTCTGAAAGCGTTTTCTAGAAAGGGACAGAACAAATATTTTAAGTTCCGAAGCTCAACTGGTTTCTGTCACAGCCACTTAAATCGCTGCTGCTGTATCGCATGTGATGACATGTGAATACAGGTGTGTGTCTGTGTTCTAATAAAACTTTATTTATAACATTGAAGCATGAATTTCATATAACACGAAATACTATTCTTTTGATTTTTTTCACCACCTTTAAAAAAAAATGTAAAATACATTCTTATCTCACAGGCCATATAAAAACAGGTTTCCGTCCCCCACTGAATAGTTTTCATCTTGTCTAGACAGGTCTGGTGAAAGGAGATGGGGATAAGATTCTATGATTCAATAGTGAGTAATTGTTATCATGACTAATTGAGACCGTCACAACTGTAAAGGTAGAAGTTCTGTAACATAAACGGGGGAGTAGTTAATCTTACAGCCCAGGAACAGAGGGCCCTAGGACCATCAAGTGAGTGAGAAGAGCACAAGTGTAATGTGGGACCCTATGCAGAGAAGCAGCAACACCAGAGATGGAGGCAGAGATGAGGACATGGAGAGAGGGAGCAGCTGAGGACTCTAGACTCATGGGAAGAGAAAGGCTGTGTGCTGGTGGCCAGGAGGAAGTCTTGCAGAATGTGCCCTTTGGTTGTTTAAATGATTATATATTCCTGAATGTTTTTGTGTACATCAAAAACAAAGAAACAAAAAACAGCCAGAGGAATAAAAGCAAATACTGTTAAATGAGAATGAATGGAGGAGACTGTAATCATTGCAATGAAACAAAATAAAATAGGGAAGCGCAAAACCGATGTTCTCCCATGTAAACTGTCACTCAATTCACAATAGAAGCTTTAAAAACAAAAAAACAGGTAGCAGATTGGATTTGGCAAACCAGTTTTAGTTTGCTAACCTTCAATATTGTTGTTGTGAAGTGCTGTCAAGTCGTTTTGGACGTCTAGTGACCCTGCATAAGGATTAGCTGGTGAGTTTGAATCACTGACCTTGTGGTTAGCAGTCCAGTGCTTATCCTACAGTGCCACACCAGGACTCCAACCTTTAATACAGTGCAAAGAACATCTCTAGCACCTTCTAGGGCCCATTTCAAGATTGAGAGGCATGTATTGAGGAATCAACACTGTGAAGGAGGAAAGGAAGATGATGGAGAAGGGGAGGGAAGAGAAGGAAGGAAGTAAAGGAGACTGGCCATGAAATTAGGAGATGGAGTGTGGTCCCTTCCCACATGGCAAGCTGCCTTAATCAAGCAATTCTGGTTTTCTGATACTAAAGCATAGAAAGTGTTCTGGGTGGTTTGGGTACCCTTCTTGCTAGCCCAGACCTTCCATGGGTCTCTGAAGCAAAGCTGAAGAACACAGTGTACACTGTGTTAATACTTGTGGAAATAAAGAAGCAAGCAAACAGATTCTTTATATAATTGTTTAAATTACATATAGACCCTCGACAAAATAGACTGGTTCAGTGGCAGAGTTATGTTCTGTTGTTGCTATGAATAGGAACCAACTCAATGGCACCTAACAACACTTGTGTCTGTAGTGGAATGCAGTAGCTAAGGAAAGGAAGTGGGAGGGAAGTTATTTACTGTTACACTTGTGGGTAATTGAACCATGGTACAAATTACTTAGTCAAAACGAATGAACATTATTTTCCCCCTTAAAAATAGATGATGGAAGAAGCCTTATACCCAGACACCATCCCTACTTAATCAAAAACACATTTTGGGGAAGGAGAAATTGATGTAGCCAAGGCTCATTTCCAGCCCCTTTCCCCTTCCCCCACTCTCTGTGGGTGTTCTTCCTTCCTGCCCTTCTTATAAGAGATCAATGATGTCATTTCCTGGAATGTGTGCAAGTGGGGTGTGGGGAACTGGGGAGATAAGGCTTACAAGGATTCTCCAAGTATTTGGGATGCAGAAAAGTCACTGGTGTAGCTTTGTAAGATAAGTACTGGTGTGCTAACCATAAGGTTGGTGGTTCAAACCCACCAGCCGCTCCTTAGAAACCCTATACAGGGGTCGCTATGAGTTGGAATTGACCAGATGGCACTTGAAAACAACAGAGTCACATTTAGGGCCTTCTGAAGGAAAACAATGCTGTAGTTTTCAACCAGGAGAATTTGGGTCCCTAAGGGACACTTGGTAATGCCCGGAGATTTGTAGTTGTCACAGCTAAAGATATTACTGGCATCTCATATTAGAGGCCAGGGGTGCTCCCCAACATCCTACAGTACACAGGACAGAGGTTAATGCTGCGGATGAAAACATCAAGGAGTGCTAGGTATGTAGATGTTACCTGAAGCTCTGGCTAAGGGGCAGTTCTGAGGCAGCTGGTCTGAGGTGACTAAGATTTGGCATTTCCAATAAGAGCGCTTCCACCCCTGCTGGTGGTGGAGCCAAGCTCAGAACAAATTGGGCCTTACCCAGTCCTGCTGGGGCCAACCAGGGGTCGTCTTGTGACAGCAGAGGCAAGTTTGGATTTGGGTCAGCAGGCTGGACTTGAGTGCTGGCTGGGGAGGGGCAGCGTGTCCTGAGATCATAGAAACCAGCCTGAGGAGATGCTTCTTCTCAGACCCAGTGGTGGACTGTGACAACGGTGGGGGGGCCTTACCGTCCAGAGTCTCCACTGAGAGCTGTAGACCCAGGTTGTGTCGAGGGTTGACCACCCAGTGGTTGCTGGTGGCTGTGATGTCGAACACCAGCCAGCCCTCCTCTGAGGCCCAGAGGGTCCGGCTGTCCAGCAAGAACAGGTCAGACTCCCTGCGAGAGAGGAGAGACACAGGCTGAGTCAGTGGAGTCATGGTTCAGTGAGGGGGTCTTGTGCAGTGGGAGAGACATGAGGAGGCCCACTGGGTCCCCACACATGAGTTCATCAGATCCAGGCACAAGGAATGGATACTGCTGAGAGCTGAGTTCATCCTGTAAATTTACAGAGGAAACCCCAGCAGGACCAAGTGGAGGAAACCTGGACTGGTATGGGCTCTGTGCTGCTGGAATATGTTCATAAGAGGCATTTAAAATGCATTAATTTTTAAGTATTTTAAGTGCTATACGTTGTTGTTGATAAGTACTGTGGAGTCGGTTCTGACTCATAGTGACCCTGCACAGGGTTTCCAAGGCTGTATATCTTTACGGAAGCAGAACACTTCAACTTTCTCCTGCGGAGCAGCTGGTAGTTTTGAACTGCTGACCTTGAGGCTGGCAGCCCGACTGGTAACCACTACGCTACCAGAGCTCCTTAAGTGCTATCTATATACACGATCTCATTTAGTTCTCACAACCCTAAGATGTAAAGATCATCTCCATCAATCCATAGAAACATCATGACCTGCCCAAAGTCACCTCACCAGGACATGGCACACCCAGGGTTAGAACAAAGGCAACTGAACACCAATGCGGATGCTCTTCATAGCCACACACAGCACCTTTATGAGGTCACTAATGTTCACAATGTTTGTGATATTAAAGGAGTCTTGGTGTGGCACTATAGGAGAAGCACTCGACTGCAAGGTTGGTTTGAACCACTATATTGGAGGTTCAAACTCTTCAGCCACTTCTTGGAAACCCTATACAGGGTCGCTATGAGTGGGAACTGACTTGATGGCACCCAACACAAATAACAACATGATACTAAAGAGGTAATCCTTTAATTCTCTCCTCATTTTGTCTAGCAGTCAAAAGCATAAAGTACAATTGGCCATGAAGGGGAGGGAGGAAGTATGGATAGATGGGTGGATGGATAGATGGATTTTTATCTTACTACGTAGAATTCTGGAGTCCTGGTGTGGCACCACAGGATAAGCACTGGACCTCAAGGTCAGTTTGAACCACAAGGTCAGAAGTTCAAACTCACCAGCCACTCCTTGGAAACCCTACACAGAGTCACGATGAGTCAAAACAGACTCCATAGTCCTTAATAACAACAACATGCAATTTCAGTATGCAGTCTTCATAAAGTCTCCTGTTTACTTTTAATTATAAGAATTCAAAGTTTCAATATTTTAAAAGCTTCCAGAGTAAGTTGGACTCCTGGTGTGGCACTGTAGGATAAGCACTGGACTGCTTATCCCCAAGGTCAGTGGTTCAAACTCACCAGCTGTTCCTTGGAAACCCAATACAGGGTCACTATGAGTTGGAACCTACTTTATGGCACTTAACAACAACAATAATTACAACATGTGAACACCTACACTGTGCCAGGTACTGGGGCATAACGGTGAAAAACACAGACCAGCTCCAGTCTCTAAAATACCTGAAATTATCTGAGTTAAGGTGAATTTTCTTTGCTCACACATGGACTTTGTTCACAGTAACCATTAACTGAGCCTGGCTCACTCAATGCCTGGCTCTGTGTTGAACCACCTGACCAGCGCCATCTCATGGAAACGGAACATATGACATGGATGGTATAACTTAGGGCGCAGAGTCTGAGTCGCTTGCCTGGAATTACACCATGACGACATAGTTATTATAGTGGGCTGTCTGCAAGCTTGAACTTACCACCACACACAGTCTTTGGGACGATACCTTTTCCTCTGGCACATCAATCCCACTAAATCTGCTAGAGCCGAGCAGCAGATTGCCCTTTCTATATGGTACACACTTCTGTGGGTTCCAGTTCCCAGCTCGCCTACCAAACCTACCCTGAACCAACCACCCCAGGACCTTCACTCTTTGGCCTCCTAACTCACAATGCTTGTGAATCTATGCACAGCTCAGAGAAAACAGGAAACACGTCTGCAAAAGAAGTCAGTGCAGGGAACCTAGATCCAGAGGGCATGGAGGAAGGTAGAATCTCCACTGAGTAGTATCCAATCTGTCTAGGTGGGGCTGATGAAAGGAAATGTGGATAGGTCTCTTGTGATACAATAGTGAATAATTGCTATTATCAGGACTGATTGTGAGGGCTGGAAATGTAAAGGTAGACGTTTTGTAACAAGGAGGGGAGTGATTAACTTTGCAGTCTAGGAGCAGAGGTCCCTGGGACCATCAAGGGAAAAGAGTGGAGAGTGGGACCCTACCCAGAGAAGCAGTGATGCCAGAGATGGAGGCAGAGACGATGACGTGGAAAGATGGAGCACCTGGGGATTTTAGATCCAGAGAGGGAGAGGGGCAGTGTGCTGACGACTGGGGTGCAGGCTTGTAGTGTATACCTTTTGGTTTGTTGAAGATGCATGGAAGGGATTGTAACCATAGCAATGAAAGGATATACGAGAGGATGAATGTAAAATAATGTTCTCCCATGTAAACTATCACATAATTAACAATAAAACATTCAAAAAAAAAAAAAAAAAAAGGAGCAGCCAGGCAGGGACGGAGAGCCAGGTTCAGGAACAAAAATCCATGCAGGTGTGATTGTGATAATACAGATTTGTCTCATCAAGCATAGGCCTTGAAGGAGGGAACCTGAGCTGTCTTTCCATCTTTGCATCTCTCCCTCAAGAGCATCTAATTGGCCTAGTCAAGTCAAAGTCACATGCCCACAAGTCCTTGACCATGTGAGGGCGGAACATGTCACTTGGATGGGTAGAAGCACTGTCGAAGTGGTCTAGTGCTGCTGTAACAGAAATGAAGGTGGATGACTTTGACAAACAGAAATTTGTTGTCTCACAATTTAGGAAGCTAGGAGTTCGGATTCAGAGTGACCACTATGTGCGCTATGGGACAAGGTCCCTATCTCTGCTTACTAGTTCTTTGGAGATCTCTCTGTGTCTTGGCATCTATCTTACCCCCATCTCTCCTCACTGGTTTGCTTGTTTAATCACAAAAGAAATTGACTCAAGACACACCTTACACTAAGCTAATCCTGTTTCGTTAGCAGAACAAAGGAAACATATTCCTAGGTGGTACATTTCAGGGGGGGCACAATCAAATCCACTCTTTGGCCATCCAACACTCCACCCTTTGGCTATCCAAAATCTACATCCTTGCCACATGCAAAACACCCCATGACATCATTCCAAAGTCAACTCCTGAGTCCAAAACCTCATCTTCTGACTCATCTAAATTAAACATGGGTGAGACTTTAGGTGTATTCCATCCTGGGGCAAAATTCCTCTTCATCTGTGAACTTGTGAAATCTGGAATACAAGCTATCTGTTTCCAAAGTACAATGGTGGAAGAGGCACAGAATAGACACTTCAGTTGCAAATGGGAAAGATTGGGGGCAAAGAAGGGATTGTTGTTGTTAAGTGCCATTGAGTCAGTTCCTACCTATAGCGACCCTGTATAGGGTTTCTGAGGAACAGCTGGTGAGCTTGAACAGCCAACCTTTGCAGTTCAAACAGCTCTGCAGTCTGACGCGTTAACCCACAGCGCCACACCAGGACTCCAAAGAAGGAATAAAAGGCACCAAACAAGTTCAAAACCCAACACAACAATGACAATAGCTCCGAAGAACTCAAACCCAAGTCATTACCGTTGGATCACTTCTGACTCATTGTTGGTGTTGTTAGGTGCCACAGAGTCAGTACTGACTCATAG